TCATTTATAATAGCGATAAATCAATCTTATGATTGGCCATTTGCGTGTCCAATCAGGACTCGTAACACCGGTCGCGCTTCTCTGATAATCTAGGACTCTAGCCGACACAAGTATCGTTTTGCCTTTGTTACTCACTAAATGCTGAGAAAGATAGAATGACGTTTGTGGCTACGGTCCATTTGATGCTGCAAATCCTTCAGAGCATTTTTTGATTGGTCAATTAGTAAAAATTCTTTCTTCTGATTGGTCAATCAAGTGCTTCGAAGCATTTGTAGCGTTAAGTGGACCGCACCCACCGACTTGTGTCACTAAATGGAAAGCACCCAATAGAACGTTACAGTGCAAAGGCAAATCATGGCGAATCATATTGTATTCGAATTATTAGATTCATCTGATGAAGAAGAAGTAATTATAGCACCACCATTAGAAGCAATCGTCATCGAAGATAATGGTAAGTACAAATTACATATATTATTGCATATAGATTAATGTTATCAATAATATTATAATATACGCTAACTTAAATTTAATCTAATTTTTTAGAACACATGTGTTCTAAAAAATTTTAGAAATAAATAAATGTACTTAATTATACCTTGTATAGAAGTAAATATATCGGATACTCTGAATCGATTAATTAAATCGTATATATGTTATTCGGGATAATCGAAAATGCATTATAAAATCTCTGTCATCATAATTACTAATAATATTTTCGATATAATCATGGGGTGCATTCCGATATTCACTGCAAGTACTGGCGCCTATGACGTCATTTAGTAGAGCTTTAAGAACGTTCCGTTATTACTGAGACTGATTTTTCCGTACATACCCATACAGAACAAAATATATAATAGATATCTACTGGATATCCACATATCTATACACTATCCACATCCATTATGGATAACTAGTAGATATCTAATAATTATCTACACATCCATGTTTACTAAACAGCTACCAAAGATATCTATTAGATATTTATTTGTTACTACATATCTATGTTAACAAAATATTTACCGAAGATACCGGAATAAACATATACGTATGTTAATCAATAATTTACACACTGA